TAGCAGCTAGCTTACATGGGTAGGGTAGTAAGATATGATAAGATCCCAAAAAGTCATATTTTTCGTTTTCACTCCGTAAGTATATCAGAAACAAACGTAGCTAGAAGCTAAAACAAACATGATGTGAAAGTAAATTTCGGTCGACTCAGAAAATCCCAAAAACGTCCTATAATACAGTCGCAACTATTCTTTAACTGTATCCCTGTGCACCTAAGACATACAGACCCAATAGAATTATAGAATTTAAGCATAAAATAATTCTTAATTAGCTAATGTTTTTATAGCTATGAAGAATTTTGAACTTTTGATGTTACCTGTGATACTTCTAAATTTTTTTTAGATAAGCAAATACCGGGTGTTACATACAAGTATGTAAAAAAGATTTGATAAATAGGGGGGGGGGGGGGAATTTGCATTTCTTCTTTAATTTTTGTCTCAGTATCCATAAGAGTTAGAAAGACCTGGTGACACGAATTTGAATAGGTTTTTGGATACGCCCTTTCCGATTTTGCAAAAATTGAAACTTGAAACTTTGACATATGCCTGGCGTCGCCGCCTCTCCCAGGATTTAGTCAACTGTCGTGAGGATGCGTCCCTGGTAGTCACTATCAGGGACGTTTCTCCACTACTTTGTTGCCATCGCGCTGGGCCGCGACATATGCCAAACAATGTGGTGGATTTTGTGGATTGGGGGGGTTGTGGGGGGCGGCTAACTGGGTGTTATCCGACCCGAACGGGTACGGCCACAGCTTCGCCACTGGTATTCTGCCTTAGAGGGAACTCTGCTTTCTAGTGATAGCTTCTTCTCCGGGCGTTCATTGGCTTCCGATGTTCCTATGCTTTGGTCTCGTTCCCTTCCCTGTTTTTCTTCGTGTTAAGCCCTTTTTATTGTTGTCCTCCCCCTGCGTTGCCTTCTGTCCCCTCTTCCTTCTCCCCTTGGCTACAATTGTCCTTGTGTCTGATTCTTCCTCCACCTCTAGTATTAATTCTTCTGCTTTCTTTCTTCCTTTGATGTTTGTCTCTACTCTCTTCCCATCTTCCAGATTCCGTGTGTGATTCTGAATGCGTTGGTTATTCTGTTTTTCAGTGCGTTGTGCCTGCTTAGGGTGCTGCTTATGTAGGTTCCCAGATATTTGATCTTGTGCTTTATGGTTATCTCCTTCCCGGCTATTATGGTCTTCTCTCCTTCTTTGTACTAGGGGTGTTGTTTCCTGGCAGTCTTGTCATCATGTAGCTATTTTCGTTGTGTATTTGTAGGTCCACTATTTCCAGGTGTACCTCGCTGGCCTGGACGAAGTCCGCAGTGTCTTCTAAATTATTCGCGATTACGAGTAGATCGTCCGCGTACGCCAGTAATGTCGGTATTTGTAATTGGCCGCCTGTGCTAAGGTTCCTCACCACCGTCCTCGCGTGTTGTGTAGCGTGGTCAAGTGCTATCCCGAAGATCCTTGGGGAAGCGGACCTCCTTGTTTGATCTCCCTGGTTTTCTTTTGGTGTTCGGTTTTCTTCCAAAACCATTGTATACTAGGATACTCCCTTGGCCACGCGTTTATGGTTCTGTTGATTGGGAATTTGGGTGGTCCCAGCATCGCCCGCGCTGTTGTTGGTATATATTTCTGTTCCCCCTTGTTTCCTCTTTTTGTATTTTCTGATGTGCTTATACCATTACATGTGCGCATTCCTCTTCATTGGTCTGAGTTTGTCGATGTTGTTCGCGACCTCGGCGAATTCCTTAATTTCGTGTTGCTCATAGGCTCTGTTTTCTTCTTCTTTGACTTCCCTTAGCTCCTTCTTTGTTTCAGGTTAGTGCGGGTTTTGGCCCGCTTCCTGTTCGGTCACATGAGCGGTTTCTGTTTCCCTAGTGTTTTCCTTGTTGCTTCTTTGACCGTTTCGCCGATCCTGTTCCAATATGGTATACCTTCACCCTTTTTACTTCTAATCTCTTACTACTTTTTCAAAATTCCTTCCACGAAAGGGCGCATCCCTAAACGGGGGTGCGAAAAAAATTCTGATTTCGACGAAATTTGGGCCCATATGAATAAAAGTGAGTAAATGCTTGTACTTGCAAAATTCAAAGTAAATACTTGTCAGTGCTCCTTCACACTGGGCGATTTAGCAGCGCTGCTAAGCAGCAAGACAGGACGCAGTGCAGTGCTGCAGTATGAAGGGGCACTTACGAGTATTTACTTTGAATTTTGCAAGTATAAGCATTTGCTCAGTTTTATTCATACGGGCCCTTGGTATCGTCTACTAGTGATTGATGTGATTTCGCATTGTAGTTAGTTGAAAATGTCGCAAATAAAAAAATAACGATTGAAGTCGATATGATATGTAGGTACTTCGAATAATGCTTATTGATTGTAATCGAATTTGCAGATTTCAATACCATGATCGACATATCGAATTTTTTATGAGCATTTAATCATAATAGGAACCGACTTAAATCGTTATTTTTTTGTTATTTGCGACATTTTCAATTAACTAGGTAGATTCGAAATTAGATCACTCACTAGTAGGCGGGGTATTGGGCGGGGTACACTTTATGACCCGATGGCCCAATCATCAAATGAGTAAGTATAACTTTTGTTTGAAAAGTGATTTTAAAAAACTGTTTGACAATTTTATTCCTTAACTCATCAAGTATGTACACAACAAATTCTCCCCATTTTCGTTGTCCGACCAAGAAATGCAGTAGAATTTTTTTTTGAATTTTAAAAAAATAATGTCATTCAAAAACCCCCGATACCAAATTTCGTCGAAATCAGAATTTTTTTCACACCCCCAATTAAGGGTGCTCCCTTTCGTGGTAGGAATGTTGAACAAATTTTTGCAAAATCAGAAAGAGCATACTCAAAAACCTATTCAAAGACGTGCCATCAGTCTTTATAACCCTTTGGTTACTGAGAAAAAAATTAAAAAAGAAATGCAAATTTCATCACTTTTGTGGGGGTCGCTTCCAAACGAAACACGCTGAACCCTCGGTTTATTTGGAAAAGTGCTTGTGTTGATACAAATTATAAGACTCATATGTTGTCATTTAAAAAAACTCATGATGGCGGCGACCCTCAAAATTGGAGTAATGAAGAAATTTCTTTTTCATTCCCAAACTTGCAAAATTGGCGAGGGGGGGGGGGGGATTTGAAGGAATCCAAGAAGCATTATTACCTGGAGTGTGCGTCACCGTACCGAAAAGTAAATCAAAAGCAGGGTCTTTATAATCAATTCACAATAAAGACTTTGGAAATATGCGTTAGAGGACGATTTCTTAAATTATCCGTATTGTTGGTTGATGCATAATTACACTGATCACATTAAAAATATTATATTATTTGAAAGTAGCATGATAAAATGTACCCTTTTAAACTACCCTTGCTCTTGGTTGATTGCAAATTAATTTTTTGCAAGTGCATTTACTTTTACAACCGTAAAACTCCAATAGTGATTACTTTTGACCATTGTAAATAAACAAAATGGCGGCCTTATATCACCCTTAGATCTTAGATCTAAAGATCATCATCATATAATACCATTGAATGATAATACCACCAAAGTAATTACAATGTGTTGCCACTGTTAATCTGAATAGCGAATATACACTTATGGCCGTTTGCACCGACAAATTTAAGCGGCGCTTAGCCTTAAAATCCATGGCAACGATTATTGAGACAATGGTTGTCATGGATTTTAAGCTAAGCGCCGCTTAAATTTGTCTGTGCAAAGCGCCATTACAGACATAAACAAAATTGCTGTACACTGTTGTCTTTAACAGGCCGGAAAAATTGTCAGTACAGGCCTACAGGGTGTTCCACTTGTTTTCGATGTTTTTCAGTGGTATTTTGAAAACTAAATTATTCAGTTCAAATTCTATAAATCTGAAAGTTAGTCTTTGTAATTAATACCTATAAATCAATCTAAAGTCTGAGAAAACCAAAGACATAGGTTTCAGTCAGATTTGAGATAAATGGGCAAATTCTATTAAAATGCTGTTATTTTGAGCATTTCCTTAAATTTCAGGTGTAAGTTCATCAGATAAGGAGATCAATCATTTACAAGTGAAATCAACTCATTTATTTATTTAAAGCTAATATTTCGAAGAACTTGTTACTTCTTCAGAACCGACAAATTGTTAGAACATGTTGAGACGTTTATTTCCTGAAATATAAATTATATATTCCACGGCCTACTTGTTTTTAATCCACATTTTTGAGACTGAATAACGGTTTTCCCTATTTATCTCAATTTTTTTCTTATTAAATATACTAATAACTATGTATTTTTTTAATAAAAAAAAAAATTGGTGCAAGAAAATATTATACATTCTATTTGGAAAAATAAACTTGGTGCTATATCTTAAAAACTAAGTAGGCTATGGAAAATATAAAAATACCCCCTTACTAAGAGACTATTTTTACGTAATGTTTATTCTTTCTACTTTTTTGATATTCCTACAAATAAGTGTTATAAAGCAAAAACTTTTTATTGCGTTATTTGGACTTTTGCGCTGTTGCCACGTTCGCGGAAGTTATACGTCAAAATGGACATAGTTAATCTACGCAGCTTTGAAAAGCCGAGAAGTGTAAACTGCATCACTCTACTTGTTTTAGTTCTCAAAATATCCCCGAAAAACATCGAAAACAAACAACTTTGGAACACCCTCTACTTATTGTATTGTTATTGTTCATAACACAAACGTGGTCTTTGCCGTAGATTAAAATGACAATATATAGACAAAGAGTATGGGTACTCTTTGATATAGGTAAATAAACAGACTATATGGTTAACATAAAAATTACGATTATATTGGTTAAAATTCCCATATCTCCCATAAAACTCTATAGTATAGTTACCTTCGACTGGAAGATAAGCAACGCGTATACGGCGCAGATTTGCAGATCGCTGAAACCCGAAATACTGCGTTATACAGTCACTTTCGTTCTGGAACTTTTCGTCCACTATGTATATAAAATCACATGAGATGGGTGGCTAAACTGCTACTTTGAAGGTTGGCTGTAGCGTAGAAAGAAAAGTTATGTGAGGTTAGGTTTGGTGTTAAAGCGCGCCAAAATTATTGTTAATGCTTGGGTATTAGAAATTATAAGATCCGAAATTGTTGTTTTTGTGTAATTTATAGAAGTATAGACTAAAATAATGGATGTAGCAAATGCACAAGTAGTGCATATTCAAGTGAAAGATGAAATTGGTATTCGCACTCAGAAAATGTTTCAAGACTTCTTGGAAGAGTAAGTGAATATGGCTTATTTGAAATGCAACTAATACAATACTATATAGATTTAAGGAAGATGGGGAATACAAATACATCGATTTAGCAAAAGATGTAATAGTGCAGGAGCTGTCAACAATGGTAGTCAGTTTTAAAGACATCGAAAAGTATAACCACAATCTTGCAGCAACAATTACAGAAGAATATTTCCGAATTTATCCCTTTCTGTGCCAAGCTGTGTGTAATTTTGTGAAAGATCGAAGCAGCCCTCGTATAGAAAAGGAATTTTATGTTAGTTTTGTTGACGTATCCACACGGTTTAAGATACGCGAAATGAAGACAGATAAAATTGGCACACTTACTCGAATTACAGGACAAGTCATTCGTACTTATCCTGTACATCCAGAACTTGTACTGGGAACGTTTGTTTGCCTTGATTGTCAGACTGTTGTGAAGAACATTGAACAACAATTTAGGGTAGATAGTCATTGTTTGGAATGAACATTTGAAACTTGAATATCTCGTTTTAGTTTACACTTCCAACAGTTTGCAGAAATCCTGTATGTGCTAACCGAAAAAGATTTTTGTTAGATGTGGATAAGTCTGTTTTTATTGACTTTCAAAAAATTCGAATTCAGGAAACACAAGCTGAACTTCCACGGGGATGTATTCCTAGAAGTGTAGAAGTTATACTGCGTGCTGAGAATGTTGAAACTGTTCAAGTAAGACATGTACTTTATTCCTAGGGGCCAAATTTATATTATGCATAAAAAACACTCAATAGCGGAGCATCCAACCATTATATACACTACAAAAAGTACCTATATGAACTGTTTTATTGCAAAAATTATTTGCAAGTGTAACGTTTAATTACCCAGGGCTCCCACACCTTACTTATTTTCTGATAGTGTTTTAGTGTGTACAATGAGCGTACACATACCCCCTAGCTTGGGTCGACTGCCAATTCTCAGGTAGTAGATACTGATACTGCCGATAGTAGGTATCTGGCAGTATTCATTTCTAATTCTTTACAATATTCCCTACAACATATGTAAGAATCAGTACTCAGACTGTAAATAAAGTGGGTACAATTTGTACGTACTTGTACCACCTGGTACTTGTCAAGTTAGGGGTCATTGTGGGCACTAATACTATTCTATTGTACATGTTTTGTCCATCAAAAAATAAGTAAGATCTGGGGTCCTTGGAATCTGGCAGTTAAATTGTGTTGCCCATGAAGTGCACTGCAATCTGTTTTATGTGTACCTATATCTGTGACTGACGATACCCAATTAAATTTAAAGTTTGTTATAGTAAGTAAATATACTTTTTAGGCCGGTGACCGATACGACTTCACTGGTGTGTTAATAGTGGTTCCTGATGTCGGGAGTTTAACATTACCAGGAACAAGAGCTCAAATTGGTTCACGTCATAAGCGAGGTGATGAACCTGAAGGTGTTAGGGGTTTAAAGGCACTAGGAGTACGTGACCTAAGTTACAGAATGTCATTTGTTGCGTGCAGCGTACAAAGTCTTGGTCTACGTTTTGGTAGTCTCGACTTGCCTTCCGATACCTTAACGCCGGAAATGATGAAGCAGCAGTTAACAGAGAGCGAATGGGATGACATGTACGAAAAATCCAAAGACAAGAATTTGTACCGCAATTTAATCAACAGCCTGTTCCCCAGTATTCACGGAAATGATGAAGTTAAATGTGGAATATTGCTCATGTTGTTTGGTGGTGTTTCAAAAACCACAATGGAGGGAACTTCATTAAGAGGGGATATTAATGTGTGCATTGTCGGAGATCCCAGCACTGCTAAATCTCAGTTCTTAAAGCAGGTTTGTATTGATTTTTTTTTATATAAAACTTAGGTAAGTTACTCAGAAATCAATTAGAGATTCTCCAAAGCAGAATAGTAGGTATCTATTATATTAGATTGTGTTAGTACATGTAAATTAGCTTTCAAATTACTTTTAGTGGTACTTTGGAATTTTGCAGTTCTCTAAAAAGAGTGCAAGCACTTTAGCGCGAGTCTATTAACTGGACAGCCCTACTAATTTCTTAGGCACATTGGTGAATGTATGGCAGGTACTAAATTTTGTACCACCTTTTTTTAACTGCTAAGTCAAAATTACACGATGACTATTCGGTTGGTTCAGCTTTATTAATTAGAATCTTTTTGTATCCTACTTTTACTCTATATCCAGCTCTCTTGAGTTTCTTCAAATACTTTTTTGATTTGAAATTTATTTGGTTCCGCGAGAATTTCTGAATGAGCGAAGAAAAATAACACTCCACGCTATTCAAGTGTCGCACAAAAAATAATGGCCCAGCGCTAATATTTACAGGTGCTTTGCTTAACTTCGCTAATGTACCAGTGCGACTGATCTCCGGGATCAATTATTTCCCAAGTCCTTCACGTTTCTAAACCGATACCTCTTTATTCTTTTTCCACCAATCAAAAAACAGTTCAATGTAGCGCAAAACCAAATATCTAACGGTGAATACTGCATAAAGAAAAATGTTCCTGTAACCTTAGACAAGCACGTCATACATCACCGCTCCACAGCGCTTTAAGCTTCCAACGCAATTAAAAAGTCAGTAGTGTATTTCAGACTACTTTCCCACCATACATGCAAAATCAAAAAAATTTGGTACCATATTGGCAAGTACCGTTACAGTACCCCCTTCTTGTTTTTATAAGTCGATCAATCTTAAGACTTCAATTATGTGTCTCAGTTTTAGGACACTTGTAGTAAGTAACATGCCATTTGTTAACTTGCTGGATTGTTTTGTTGACCATCGCCGAAAGTTTAATCTGCACTGTGATAAACTTTGTACACGAATTAAGAAGTAAATTTTGTTGCTTAGACATGAATAAAAACACTTAAAATACACAAAACAAGTATTTTATTGTACCAAAACAGCTAATAAGAGGTATTTTACAATCAAAAATTATATATATTTTTATAGTGCAGTACCCAGGGCAGTATCAAACTTAAAAAAAGCATCACCTTCAACTTGCAGTATACAGGGTGTTTCATGAGGAATGGTACATAAATGTTAATATGTTATCGATTTCTTTATTTGAAGCAGAAATGTTCTTATAAACATGTGCTCAATTCTCAAAGGTAACTTAGATACAGCCTGTTAATGTATAAACTGATTTATCTAAATGTGTACATAAAATATCGAAATTCGGACTTTTAAAGTTGTTGTATACCTAGTAGGGACAACTGTATTCCGCTAGGTGGCGATATTGTAGCAGTTATTAGCAAAGCTCATAAACTCCACCTTAGAGAGACACAGTAAGAGAGATAAAGTGTGGATAATTAATAAATAAAGGAGACCGGTTTACCTCTATGCAACCTTTGCATGTTATGCTCACATTCCTTTATTGTAAGGTATTGACAAGTACAATTCGATCTTGAAATGTAGGTCCTTTCCATGAACACGCACAGAGTTTCTTTTATTACTCAAAAAATGATTATATTCGAGTCCCCAAGCAATGGTGATATTTTATGAATTATTTAACTTATTGAGCTTATTTCCTTTTAGTTTTTTGGTCTTCTTCCTCGCCCCAAAATTGAAATTTTTTAAAGAAAGCGATAGTGAACAAAGTATAATTGATTACTATCATTGCATTAATGATCACAAATAAGAAAGTTTTTAAGGGTTCACAATGTTAAAAAATATAAATTTCATTTTAAATTATTTTTCCAATGTAAGATCCCTAATCTTCATTGCTCTGGGAACTCGGGCATCAATTAATTCAGGAAGAATACATTTTTTATAGAATACGGTTAATACGGGAAGCATTACATTTTGCCATAAATGCTGATGGTCGTTATAAATTTGTTCAACATTTAAGTTGTTTTCCGCGTAAAGCCCGAATTGCAAAACAATTAAGTAATTAGCAAATAGTGATCTGTCATTAATTGCTCTCATAAACAGGAAAAATCGGAATCGAAAGTGCAAAATCAATCTGAAGTTCCGCTCTTTCGGAATCAGAACCGAAACTCCGTTACATCCCTAGGATGTATGATGACTATATGCTCGGATACTTTTTATGTTATAGATATAGAATACCTATAGCACAAATGTGTAAGTAGATATTGTGAGAATATTAGCAGAATGAGTTCGATGAAAGTTTTTAATCAGTCAACACACAAAATCAGTTTTAATACAAACTTACAATGACACATTTCTTTAATTAAATTTTCGACATCTTTCAAAATTACTTATATACTAAGCTGGCGCTGTATGAATATCAAACTTGATTATAATTATATCTTAGACCATATAGTACATGGACTGCTATTAGCCCTATGCTTTCAATACAAAATGGGTGGTCACGGATAGAGGGCACCGTAGTCTTGGGTATGTGAATCTCAGGGTAAACTAAAGTCGTGTAAACACCACTCGGATCGCGTAAAGAGTAGCTTTTATAGTAACCGTGTAGTACGGGAAGCCTTAAATACTCTTGATAATCTTCTATACGTCCACAAATAAGAAGAGGTTTGCTTTTTTGGCATACCTAGGCGATTAATTAATTGACGTTTGTGAATTTATAGGTTGACAGTGTCAAATCGTTTCTAATCGGACAGCTTCGGACAGATTCGTTTACCCTGAAACTCACATACCCAGGCGATGTCCTTGACCATATTTTAGTTACAATTAGCAGTCCATGTACTATATGGTCTAAGAATTATATTCCAACAGATATGTATAGTATTATGTGGTTATAGGTATAGTTAAAATTCATGTCCATTTTGGCTATTTATTATTTATTGCAATCATCATAATAAATGCCCTTAGGCTTTAGGTATCCGTAGAATCTATTGTTTATATACTACAAAATTAGTATATGTAATGAAGTTCTCCATTTTTTGGTTCGTTGAGATTCTTTGAAATATTAAAAGGAACCACAAATGTGAATTTAAACATTTGTGGTTCCTTTTAATATTACAAAATTAGTGTACCTATTAATTGACCGAAGTGAGTGCAATGGACGGGCCTAGGTGAGGGGCGGAGATTTTAAATGAAATTCAATTCCACATAGTTTTTTATTAAAATTTTATTGACAATTATTGGCAAAAATAGTATATCTGACGCACATGTATGTCATTATGTGTGAAAATAGCTATTTTCAATTTTTGTTTTACACCTATTTATTACTTATGATTTCATAAATTTCAAAGTAATTTTTTGAGTAAAGTTTCTATTTTTTTCAAATTATGTAAACATAGTTCACTCATATACATCGTCCTTAACCAGTGTGCCAAATTTCATGGACTTTCAATGATTCATTTTTGCTCTGGAATTGAACAAAGAATACATTATTTCGCATAGGCGGTTTAAACGTATACAACAACCTTAAAGGAAGGGTTCGAATGTCCCACCACCTAATTCAATGCACTTGGCTTGGATCTCTTGAAGATGTTACGCACTGTACTGCATGATTTATCCTGATGGGCTTTAATTCGTTCAGCACTGGCCGTAATACGAGCGATTAGGGCATCACGCGTATGTACTGTTACTTGATAAACATCGCTTTTTAGTCATCCCCACATTCTGTAATCTTAACAGATTAAGGTCTAGTGACCAAGCTAGTCAAATGATAGGAGCCCCATGACCAATCACTGTTCCGCAAAGGTTTGGTTCAGGTATTTCGTCACTTGACAGTTTATGATTTAACTGGCTGTATCTCAATTTCAGTTACATTTGAGAATTGAGCACATGATTTAGGAACTTTCTGCTTAAAATGAACAAATCTGTAGCATATTATTGTATGTACCAATCCTAATGAATTACCCTGTAAACAGCATAAATAATTATTCCGCCTCCTTATTCTATTGCAATAAAAAAACCTAACAATCTTCTTTTGCTTTTTAACTATAAAAGACATAACACTATTTTGTAAAGTCGTTTAAGACAAGAATATCATTCATTGACACATTTAGGCCGGATGTCCACCGCATCGGGCCGACGAAGATCGGTACGATTTGAATCGCGCACCTGCATTTCTACTGAAGCCTGTCAACAGAAAAAAAAAAAAACTGTCACGACTGACGACAACGGGCTAAAATAGTCGGTTGTGATTTCGATCGGTCCCGACAATAGTCGAGTCTGTTGACAGGCTTCAGTAGAAATGCAGGTGCGCGATTCAAATCGTACCGATCTTCGTCGGCCCGATGCGGTGGACATCCGGCCTTACAGTACAGTTTTACTGTAGGTATATATCTTAAATTTACTTTGACACTAAATAGTCACAATAGACACTGCAATTTTGTTTTTAATCGTTTCAATGGGCTCGTTCATAAGACACAACAGTTACCGCTACGCTACCTCGTAGCGTATCGGTAACAGTTGGGGGTCTTATGTCACGTTCCCTACTTTGACGTATGTAGCGCTACTAAAAATGGCCGACTGCTCCGTAAAGAGCGTAAAAGTAGCGACCTAATTGTAAGACGTATCAGTAACTGTTCCAGAACAGTTGTGTCTTATGAACGCGCCCAATAACGTGCCTCAAATTGAATCCCCTACCACGCTCGTCAAAATACGCTGGAGTGCTGGACTGGCGCTGTGCCGAATTATAAAGAGTACTGTACTAATGTAAACAGATCAGAACTACTGTTTGTTTCCAAATTCGTTCTACAATCAATAAGTCTCTGAAATTAATTTATTTCATACTGTCCGGTAGATGTTCGATTACACTATCAATTTGAGTCAGGTAGGTGAGTTATTACAGCATCAGAGACGGTAACGGACTGTTATTTGTATACATCAAATTTGACATCTTCACACATTTAATTAAAAACCCCAACATAAATTTGGCTGTAATTCTTTATTTCAAACATTAACATTGATTGTAATGAAACAATATGTATTACCCTCAACACTAACGCCTGGGTTATTACTGGATGTCGAGTTAGTAATGTTTGATTCCTTCTGCTGTAGAATTTCAATGAAATTTTCACCGCCTTGTATCAGTTGTATCATATGGGCAATCTTAACTTTTCCTTCTACCGATGTATTTTTCTGCCGTCGATGAGCTTTTGCATGCCCCATGACGCTTTAACACCGAAACCCAGGCAGAAAAACCTCAATTCAAAAACTTACTGCATCCAAAAAGTATGCCAACATGACTTTTTCCTCTACTTGTTTCGCCCCATGTTCGTTTCTCCATTGGCAAAACACTTAGTACTCTTTTTCATACCTTGCGGCCGACTTCTTAGGAACCAACTTTTCGGTTGCTTCATGAGATTTCGACAGGATTGTATCGGGAACAGTGGAACATCCCACAACGTTTTTAGCGTCCATTTTTATTTTTAGTGAAAAAAATTCAATGTAATAAACTACAAACTATAGCAACGGCCGTTGCCACAGAAACAAGGTAATGCGATTTTTACAATATAATGAAATTTTGTAAACTTTGAAATGAACAGACTTACGGCCGGTTGCAGGAAAGCGAATTATAATCGAAATCCTAGATTATTTGCCAAATCTGAGTTTAAACAAGAATTTTGACATTTAATTGGCTGCCTACTGCAATATAAAGCCAATCAAATGTCTTAATACCGGATTAAACAATAATCCTGGATTTTTTTTGTGCAACTGGCCGTTACAGTATGAAATAAAATACGTTACAATATACGTCCGGTAGTACTTGTAACAGTACTCGTTTAAGACATTCTTGACTCGGCTCCTGACGTCGCCTCGTCCATAATGTCTAACTCGTACTGTTACAAGTAACCTACGGGACCTATAACGTAAATAGCTAATGTGGCCAAGTCTGTATGCTTAAGTGCTGCGTCGTTTCCATTCGTCATCCACTTCAAGACCTGTACCTCTCAACTTCTACACTTTGTAGATCACATTTTACATATGCCTCTATTGAACCACCATCGTCATATGTAATTCAAATAGATGTCGGTGCACAACAATGTTTCAATGTGTTGAACCTCGCCTAGGTTGATTTATTTTAAATTTGTTATACAGTTAGACCCAAAATTAAAGATTATCATTATTATTATTTTAGGTGGCCGAGTTTGCTCCAAGAGCAATCTACACATCAGGGAAAGCGTCCACCGCGGCGGGCTTAACAGCAGGAGTCGTAAAAGATCAAGAGTCAGCTGATTTTGTCATAGAAGCGGGAGCCCTAATGTTAGCCGACAATGGGATTTGCTGTATAGACGAATTTGACAAGATGGATCTAAGTGATCAGGTAGCTATTCACGAAGCAATGGAACAGCAAACAATTTCCATAGCAAAGGCTGGTGTTCGCGCAACATTAAAAGCAAGAACTTCAATTCTTGCTGCTTTAAATCCGATAGATGGCCGTTACGACAGAGCAAAATCTTTGCAGCAGAACGTAGCGTTAACTGCCCCTATTATGTCGCGTTTCGATTTGTTCTTTATTTTGGTAGACGAATGTAACGAAGTTGTCGATTACGCCATTGCAAGAAAAATTGTTGACTTGCATAGTCATAACGAGGATGTTATTGAGAAGATTTACTCAAAAGAGGAAGTATTGCAATACATTACATTAGCACGTAAATTCAAACCTGTGATTAATGAGGAGGCCGCGGAATTGCTAGGAAAATATTACTGCACATTGAGAGCTCGTGATAGTACGGCTGCGGGTCAAGCTACCTGGCGAATCACAGTTAGGCAATTGGAAAGTATGATCCGTTTATCAGAAGCTATGGCACGTATAGAAATTGCAGATGAAGTACAAGTTAAACATGTAAAAGAGGCATATCGTTTACTAAATAAATCGATAATACGTGTAGAACAGCCAGATATTCACTTTGAAGAAGATGGAAATGTTGAAGGTACAAACGGAGAAGCGAAAAATCAAGCGGACACTCCAGAAGCAGAACAGCCTACCAAGAAAAAATTAGTACTCACGTTTGGCGAATACAAAAGGCTAAGTGATATGATTATTACTCATATAAGGCGCGTAGATGCAAAGTTAGAAGAAGGTAACTGCGAATATTTGATTTCCTGTACTCATTCACAAATTTTGCAGAGGGTAAAACGGGGGGCGTAACACGTACAGGTGTTATTAGTTGGTATTTGGAGTTAATAGGTGACCAAATAGAATCGGATGGTGAATTGGTTGAAAAACAGGAGATGATTGCAAAAGTTATTGATAGACTGACTTATCATGTAAGTAGATAGTTTAAACATAGGTTTGTACCATATGGGTGAAATTTTAGGATGAAATTTTAATTCCTTTAACTACTGGGGGATTAAGTAGAGCCAATCGAGAGGAAGAGAATCCTATATTGGTAGTACATCCGAACTATGTTGTTGATCGTTAAATGTAGAAAAAACCTTTTTCTTGATATTGTTAGATTTAAGAATAAGTATTTTAGTTTATTTTACTTTTAATAATAACAGTAGATATTTTGTAGAAATCTGTTGTTAACTTACTACTGACCAGTGAACTCTACACTAATTGGAAAGAGTGCAATGTTACAAGCGAGGCATTTTTGTGGTTGCGACTCTAAAAATTGGAGGTGTTCTTGGAATATAGCGGGGAAGTTCGAAGACGGTCTGTCTTTCTTTTTCTTGTGAAGAGGACTAGCTCCCTTTTTGTCGGGTTGATGGACAAGGAGTGTTCTCTACACCATTCATCAGCTGCTCTAAGAGCAGATTGCTTCAGTCTGCATAAAGTAGCCTCAAATTTGCCAGTTATAAGTATGGATATATCATCCTCATATCCCAGTAGCCACTATCATTGAGTTGACAAATAAGGCTTTTTACAATTAAGTTCCAATGAAGTGGTGATAGCACCCCACCCGGGGGCGTCCTCTCACTACTGTGCTCTTAAGAGTTTCGTCACCAACGCTGTTGTGCACTGGTCTGAGATTCAGTAGCTGCGCAATCTAGCCTCGCACGACTTTTGTTGCGCAGTGGTGGCGTAAAGCTATTTCTATTGTTTCGAAGGTTGCTTTGTCAAAAGCCCCTTCTATATCTATGAATACTCCCAGTGTGGACTGTTTATAGTTCATCGATCTCCCAATCCTCTCTGTGACGCACTGTAGGGCTGACTGTGGATCTTCCTGGCGAGTATGCTATGCTTTAGGTGTAGAGTAATCACCTTTGCCAGGTTTGAGGATAAAGTGAATTTTTATCTCTCCATTGTTTAGGCATGCCTCTGAAAGCGATACAGTCCGCATATATTCTCACTAGGTAGGTAACAATAACATCCAGTCCCCATCGCAGGAGTGGTATTATGCCATCCAATCCACATCCACCATCTGATTTGCAACCGCCCAGTCATCCTCTCATTTGATGCTAGTTGGGTTATAACATATGAACCTTTTGTTAGAATTTTATTTAGGCGGGATGCAGAGGAGGTGGATTCTATAGAGCTGCAAAAACTTCCATCCCCCCCTCTGACGCCTCCTAATATTCTTGTATAGCCTTAGGTTTACCTTATAGGCTTCCCAATCAGCTATTCTTTGCCTTATTGAACAGTTTGGCCAACTGAGTTTTCTGCTTTTCGAGCGCCCTGCACCACCAGGGATGGATGGATCCGTTACCTTTGGGGTTGCGCTAGCCCTTTTGGACGGCTCCTTTTGAAATTAGTCTATGATCCGACATAGTCACTTAATTCTGAAATGACTTGCCAGTACTCCCTCATGTAGTATTGTGAGCATTTAAGTCACGCCCTATAATGAGGCGTTTTTTGTTTTTATATATCAGTTCTGCCACCTCATTACTGGGAGGTAAGTTGACAAAATCTCCCAGGAGATATACTGATGCTATTACTACTTGAGCTTGACTCTGTATGTCACAGCTTAACTGTACCTATAGCTTTGATTATAAAATTAGGAAGAATGCTTAAGTACTTATATGGGAATTTGTGGTTCCGTGACAATCGGGAGAGAGGTGAGCTGTAGCTCTCCCACTTTTACAAATGTGATCGGTTTTATAGCGAATATTACGCTATCCAGCTACACGAATTGCGTTTGCACAGAAGATTTCAATACTGTATTCTGTTGTTGGTACTTATAATAGTCGCGCGCACTTGAAATGAAAACGCTGCAGATATCAATTGGGATACCCAAAATTTTGTAGAACAAAAATTGGAGACGATTAAATGTACTACAAAAAAATCCGCGACGGCATATATCTATCTTTAACCGTTTAGCCATATCAACCATTTAAAGTTGCGCATCTTGGTTGCGTTGGCATTCATTGATTCATAGTATACCTATCTTTGATTGCTTATCATATATTAAGGGTTGAAAATACATACAGGGTGGTGACTTGCGGAACGCATCATAGGGATTTCAATGTAAAATTCAACAAATTATTTTAGAGCAAAAATGTATTAAGGTTTTTTGTAGAAAAATTTTTTTTACGTCAATCAACCGTATTAGTTTTCAATTTTTTGCATAATAAAGACGGAAAATTGGAAAAATAAAACCCGCATCTTTTTACTTTGATTACAATGACTACTTCAGAGTCGATAAAGTTGCATAAACAAATCGGTATACATTTTTCGTATTCACGACATGGTTGAAAACTGATTACACAGTTTTACAACTTATGGCCTTTTCAACATTATTATAAAGCGATGCATATTGCAAAAATCTCTTTACACCACAATCAGGATTTATGATTTTATTATGATTTTTGCGTATGTTTTTGCTTTATAATTTAATTTAGTTTGTCCTACCGAAAGCAATATTTTTTTTTATACGTAATACGTGGGTATTTAATGTAACCTACAAATGTAATAAAACATAATTATACTATGCGATCAAAATTGAGTTGCTGTCGAGTTACCTTTGGAATTTTTGTTTGCATGGGAAATTGATCTTCCAAAGGCGACTCGACAGCAACCCATTTTTGATCACCCGTTATAAGTATTTAGTTTCCATTTAACGTATTAGTACGACTACAATTACGGCGGAGTTGAATATACCGTTACATGTACATATGATTAAAACCGCATCAGAAATCCAAGTAATCAAAGTAACGAGTATTATAAATGATTACTTTAGAAACGAGTAACGAATACTCAAAAGTAATGATCATCAACATCTCTAGTACCTAATTAATCAACTTCCAATCGCCAAGCTTGACTATTAATCCAGCTCACATTCAATAGTTTATTCCTCAACTCATAGGAGTCGATTCTTTAAGGATTGTTTTTGAGGAGCGGAAAAAAGAATATAGGTGAGCGAAGATAGGCAAACAGTTACATGACCTAGGTGAACAAAAAAGGACAGTATACCTTACCGTTTAATTACCAAATTTACAATATACAACATTGTAACAACAATTTACAAAAAGTTTAAAAAAATCATTATATAACAAATCGTATACTTGTGGAACTGAAAAAATATAAGTACTCAATATACTAACAATTAAGAGAAACGTCTTATGTTTGGCTGATAACTTCCATAGTTAAACGTCCATTTTTTTGCAAACGGTCCATTAGAGAAGTATCTAAAAACACAGCACCTGGTGTATAAACACCACCCCTAAAATAAAATAAGATTAAAAATACGAACAAGTTGATGATAATAGGTACCTAATACTATTTACTTGTACAGTGATTGTTGCTGATATATTTTTTATACAATATTTTCTGTGTTACACAATTTCCTAATTATTGTTTTTTTTTGCTACCCTAAACTATTATACAATTATTTAAAATTGCAAGTTTGGCTGACTGTATGGGTGGTTTTAAAAACTGGCATCAGACATTGTAGAAATCAGGTTGCGGCGTTCACTGAACTATACATACCGGGTGGTGCCTAGCGCGACGCAGCATAGAGATTTCAATGGTAATTTCTATATAGTCAATTACTAGCTCCCCTAATTATTTTAGAGCAAAAGTCTAAATAAGTTTTTTTTAGAGAAAAAAATACTGAATCTTTTCATGCTATTACTCATAATTTTCCGTTTTTCAAAACCGTTGAAATCGACAAAATAAAAAGGTTCATTTTACAATAAATCAAATATGCCTTAGAATTACCTAAAAAAACAGCGATCACGTTTCATTATTTGCCTTTGACGTATATTAAATTTATACTTGTTTATAAATTAGTTAAAGAACTGCAAGTGCAAGAACGTTCAAAATGGTCGTCAAAACCATCAGGAAAACGACAATACAGTCAACGTTTTGGCTGCAGTAGTGGAAAATCCGAATATAAGTTTAGGAACAAATCTTCTTCAAATCAGTTTTTTTTCTTCGATTATGTAGGTACTCTGATTCTCTCTGATAAACAAATAGTATCTGATGCAGATGTAGCATACATTCTCTAAAAAAACATTACCCAATTGCCGCTTTTTCTTGCATCGGATAGTTGTAACAGAATTAAATATGAAAATCGTTCGACGTCAAACAACGATAACTTAGATGCAATGCGCTTGTAGTTTGTTATAAAGATTCCAAAGCATCACTGATTTATAAAAATGTAATTTTTTATTTGGTCGATTTCTACGGTTTTGAAAAATGGAAAATTATAACTACAAGTATGAACAGATGCAGTATTTTTTTCTCTAAAAAAACTTATTTAGACTTTTGCTCTAAAATAATTAGGGGAGGTAGTAATTGACTATAAAGATATTACCATTGAAATCCCTATGCTGCGTTGCGCTAGGCACCACCCTGTATACTGGAATGCACACTAGCGGTTTCCTGCCATAGAAACGTAGCGCAAGGGTAATGTCTGTCATTGTCACTAAATACGTTGTGACATGACAATCTGCCACTCTATGCATGCGCGTACTTGCGAGACAGAGCAGGACAGAGGTGTCCTTTGTGGCCCTATTAGGCTGGGAGATGGAGCGCGCGTTCCAAGTATAGTTCAATGGTTACGTTAGATAGATTGCTATTATCTAGTAGTCCAGGAAATGAAGGTTTGACCTGGCAATTTTTTTTTAATGAATAATCATTAACTTGAAATTTTGACAGTAGGTAGGTAAACCTCTCGCCAGGAAAGATTGCCGGTCATAGAACACTTGATCCCGGTCTACAATCTATGTTTTTCTGAAGATGTGAGCGACTTTCGGGATAGTATCGTGTCAATGTTGAACAAAAAGACTTTTCGTTCAACATTGGCACGATCCTATTCCGGAAGTCGCTCGCATCTTAAGAAAATCATAGATTGTAAATCGACACAAGGTGTGCTGTGACCGGCAATCTTTCCTGGCGAGAGTTATAATAACCTAATGATCAAAATCTATGATTTATATTTATTATTATGATATTATGCCAAAAAGCTTTTTTACCCTGAAGGTGGCTACCATTGTATTTAGGGGTGGACATTTTTTATTATGGGTGACCAGAAAAATAGATAGAAATATTAATTCTAAGGAAAGAGTGTTCTATGAGTATATATTTTTTTGTATCATTAATACTTTTTGAATTATTCGCGACCAAAGTATCACTTTTTCATAGAAGAGATCTATGTTAATGATTGTTTGTGAAAAACTATCTAATTCCAAACATTTTGCTCACCGTAAATGTTCTGTATGACAAAAAATAAGTGGGATATAGATGTTTAAAACTTGTAATTATATGCGAGCAGTACCTTGTTTGAGCCTTTTAATTTTGAGTTTTTTTTTTTGAGTTGGATCCATCGTTCCTCGAAATGGGGGTTGAAATATATTATGTTATCAAAAATCTCTAAACCTTCCCCATATAGTTTTATTCGTTGAAGTTTTTAAAAAATAACAGCGACTATAGTTTCGGCGTACTGCCATCATCAGGCGACTAGAAGTGTATCACAATATAGCAAATTTGAAAACATTAAGAGCTAGTACTTACTGTGAAAGTTAACAGGAAAACGGTAAATTACAAACGTTGAAGACGGATAAGACGAACATGTTGTTTTTTTAATTATAAACTGGCCGAAGCCAAGTGAAGAACCTGAAGGGTGGTTAAAACGGAAAGGTTGTCCTAAGTTTCAAGACGAATTAATTATCAAGCCTTGTTAAGACAACCAACCGGGGGGTTGAATTTTTACATTAAAGTTGAAATTTGGGTTAACCTAAAAATGAACAAAGTTTTAGATTTAAAAAATAACTTATCTAAAAGGTACTTACACATTTCAAAAGAACGGGGGGGAAAAAATAAACTTATAAAAGTATTGAAACTATTAAGATGACTACATATTTAAATTATTTAAGTAAAGTTTAAATTCGAGATCATGCAGACGGCATGTCTCGAAATGATTGACAATTCGGTATAAGAGGAAACTGACATATCGATAAATTTTGAAAAGATGTATAGGGTGAACTGAAATTATTGTAAAAACAGAAGATTGTTATTAAAGCCGAGAACTTCGTTAAGAGAGAGGTGCGGGTTCTTTTTAACTTGGTGGTAAATTTCTTTCAATTCCAGAAAGTTCAATCTTATACCTTTATTACATATATGCAGAATTTCGAAATCGGTGTTCGGATTGAAGGAGTGGCCCGTTTCTAGGATGTGTGAAGCGAAAGAGGATTTTATTGAGGAGGAATTATTGTTTTTAATACATTGAAGATGTTCTTGAAACCTAGTAGAAAATTTTCTCCCTGTTTGGCCAATGTAGGAAGATTTGCAGGTGGGGCAATTAAGTTTGTAAATGCCGGATTTGTCTATTAGAGGGATTTGGTCTTTTGTGTGTGAAAGAACTGAATTTAGATTGCTGTTGGCTGTAAAGATTATGCGGATGTTGTACTTTCGAAAAGTGTTTTGAAAACTATGAGAAAATTCTCCGATATAAGGCAATACTTGATATGTGGTTGGAGTATCTACTTGTAAGAGGGATAAACTAGTGGTATTGTGGATCTCGGATTTATGAAGGAGTTTGAATTGGAGATTTTGAATCAATTTTAACGGGTAATCATTTTGGGCGGCTAATTGGTAATTGGATTATTTACCAATTAGCCGCCCAAAATGATTACCCGTTAAAATTGATTCAAAATCTCCAATTCAAACTCCTTCATAAATCCGAGATCCACAATACCACCAGTTTATCCCTCTTACAAGTAGATACTCCAACCACATATCAAGTATTGCCTTATATCGGAGAATTCTCTCATAGTTTTCAAAACACTTTTCGAAAGTACAACATCCGCATAATCTTTACAGCCAACAGCAATCTAAATTCAGTTCTTTCACACACAAAAGACCAAATCCCTCTAATAGACAAATCCGGCATTTACAAACTTAATTGCCCCACCTGCAAATCTTCCTACATTGGCCAAACAGGGAGAAAATTTTCTACTAGGTTTCAAGAACATCTTCAATGTATTAAAAACAATAATTCCTCCTCAATAAAATCCTCTTTCGCTTTACACATCCTAGAAACGGGCCACTCCTTCAATCCGAACACCGATTTCGAAATTCTGCATATATGTAATAAAGGTATAAGATTGAACTTTCTGGAATTGAAAGAAATTTACCACCAAGTTAAAAAGAACCCACACCTCTCTCTTAACGAAGTTCTCGGCTTTAATAACAATCTTCTGTTTTTACAATAATTTCAGTTCACCCTATACATCTTTTCAAAATTTATCGATATGTCAGTTTCCTCTTATACCGAATTGTCAATCTTTTCGAGACATGCCGTCTGCATGATCTCGAATTTAAACTTTACTTAAATAATTTAAATATGTAGTCATCTTAATAGTTTCAATACTTTTATAAGTTTATTTTTTCCCCCCCGTTCTTTTGAAATGTGTAAGTACCTTTTAGATAAGTTATTTTTTAAAACCAAAAACTTTGTTCATTTTTAGGTTAACCCAAATTTCAACTTTAATGTAAAAATTCAACCCCCCGGTTGGTTGTCTTAACAAGGCTTGATAATTAATTCGTCTTGAAACTTAGGACAACCTTTCCGTTTTAACCACCCTTCAGGTTTTTCACTTGGCTTCGGCCAGTTAATAATTAAAAAAACAACATGTTCGTCTTATCCGTCTTCAACGTTTGTAATTTACCGTTTTCCTGTTAACTTTCACAGTAAGTACTAGCTCTTAATGTTTTCAAATTTGCTATATTGTGATACACTTCTAGTCGCCTGATGATGGCAGTACGCCGAAACTATAGTCGCTGTTATTTTTAAAAAACTTCAACGAATAAAACTATATGGGGAAGGTTTAGAGATTTTTGATAACATAATATGAGCCTTTTAAGCTTCCCTAAGAGTTTTAAAGAGATTGCATGTAAATAGCCTTGTAGCTTGTGTAAAAACCTTTTTGATGAACTTTTTATCGTAAAAAATGAAGGAGTTATGATTAAAAATAAATGTATTTTAATCGACGCGTCACGAAACGGATTTTATTTAAAAGATAGTTTTAAATGAGAGTGCGTCGCTTCGGTGTAGCGCGCTTTATGTGCGTATAGGCACGGAAATGCGCTCCGATCCGCTGCCGTACGCATCCTGGAACTTAATTTTTGTTTATAGGAACACATGTACTTACATTTTAATGGATCTTTCACTAGAAAATTACGGCAGTTTGTAATTACACCCCTGAATCTCTAACAAGAATGGATTTTGTACAAAAGAGAAATTTAACAAAAATTTGTGCAGCCATTGCAAAATTTGAATGATTACCAGAATTAACAAAATCATTAAAAAATTGGGTGATAAAACAAAGTACAAATAAATGTTATGCTTAAAGGGGCAGTATACCCAAATTTCATGTTTTCGTCTAAAGATAGATTAAAAATATCTAAGAGTAACGGTGAAAACCGCAAGTCGCTACGCCGTTTCGTAATTAAACGGCAAGGTGTCGAATTTAAAAAACGGTCGTTGTGACGTCATCCCGACAAATGGGTCGGTGACGCGCTATAGCAATATATGGATTCGATTACGTTTGACATGTTAATTTGAGACTGGTAGTCAGTGATCTTAATTATTTTCAAAAATGCCTAACTTTGTGTTTTCCGCTGCAACAATAATTGGAAAAATGCCAATGTTACATTGTAAATTTTCCCCGAGAAAAGAAGAAGCCGTGTCGAAATAACGTCTGGAAAAGTAGAAAAACCGCTGAAACACTTTAAAGGTGATAATTTTTTTTGGAAGATACAAAAAGGAAAGGACCCTGTGCCTCAGCATAAAGTTTTGAGAAGGCTAACAATACTGCAATCCCTTCTTTACATCTCACAGGAAACAAAGGTCCCAATAAAGCTATAAAACGTCAGTCAACTTATCTAAGAAAGTAAGATTGCTTATTGTGGGTAAACGATCAATTTCGTAGTGGAGAAACCAGTTCAACATCAACCATATGCCACAATCAAACAGAAGAACTGAATCAAATGGCATCAATACCGCTTACTGAAAGCATAGGTATCAAATCTGAGCTGGGTACAGAAATTTATTACAAATATTCAAATTTATATGAGGATATATGTTCGGATGATACTTCAGTAAGGTTTTCTTGTTTTTTTCAAAGGAAAGCGAAATAGAATATGAAAGAACTGATGCGTTCGGACTGCTTGGATCCGTGCCGCCGCACCCACGATGTCGGGATGACGTCACATGTTCTGTCTTTCAAACTTTCATCGTTAATAATTTGAAAACTACTCATCGTCGAAAACTCCGGTTTGAAATTTTATTCTTAGATTTTCTTGTACAATTTTTTTGATTTTGGGTATACTACCCCTTTAAGAATGACGAAGTTAGCAAAATCCAGAAGTAGGCGCAAATATGAACCAGGAACACTTATTCATATTAACCGGGAGCGCTATATCTTTGTGTGTTATAATACCTCGCAGACTTAAGTTGTGCATAATAATTTTCCAAAATTTATGGTCGTTTGCACCGACAAATTTAATTGGAGCTTAGCTTAAGCGTAGCTTAAAATCCATAGCAACGATTATTGAGACAATGGTTGCCATGGATTTTAAGCTACGCTTAAGCTAAGCTCCACTTAAATTTCTCGGTGCAAACGGCCATTACTGAATAGTTTAACTATACTCAAATGTTAAATGTATTTGTGTTCTAGACTCAAAAATTTTATAAGTATAATAATGAAAATTTGTTGAGTCTCAATTTTTCCTATTCGTTTTTTAATTAACTCAAAACAATGGAGTTCTTCGTCAACAAAATTATTTGTGTTCTCTTTATGACATTGATAGTTTTGTTAAATAAGTCAACTAATAATTTAAAATCTTACATGGGTGGCAAAATTTTTTAAACAATGATGTGTGAGTCAACTGCCAGTATAACCACAAGTCGTAAATAATTGAAAATATTTAGCTGAAACGGTCTCGCTGTACAGGGTGGCCAACTAAGGATGCGAGGTACTGTATCTGAGAATCTATTCATTGTATAGAGGCTTGCGGTAAAAAAAGTTATTACTAAAACGGCTACGAGAGAAAATCCTGGAAAATATTTTTAAGTTTCTGAAATGGCCGCTAGGGGGCATAACTGCAATCTAAAAAAGTGATGTTTCTGTGAATTCCGCTATATTAACCTAAAAAAATGTCCGGTCTTTGAATTCGACGATAATCTGAACATTTTTTGTTTGAAAATTTTTGCTGTATCTCTAAAAATGTAGTGGTGGGGGGTATTCAAAGGTTTCCGTAAAGAACACCCTGTATCTTCGAAACGGCTGAGCCGATGTAAACAAACTCGAGTTAGTTCAAAAGAGCTATTCTTCAGCTACGAAGTTTTGTTAGTTTCACATATCACCGCTTGAGGGCTTTTTTCGACATTGCAATAGAAATGGTTCATTTTCTCAAAAAAATTAAATGCACTGGTTCGATTTTTTTTTCATGAAAAAGTACCTTAATGATGCCTTTGAATACCCCCCACCACTTTATTTTTAGAGATACAACAAAAATTGTTAAACAAAAAAGGCTCAGATTATTCTCGACTTCAAAGACAGGAAATTTCTTGTTAGGTTAGTATAGCGGAATTCACAGAAACATCAGTTTTATAGATTCCAGATTGCAGTTACCCCCCTAGCGGCCATTTCAGAAACTTAAAAATATTTTCCAGGTTTTTCTCGTGGCCGTTTTAGTAATAACTTTCTTTACCGCAAGCCTCTACGCTGGATAGGTTCCCAGATACAGTACCTCCCATTCTTATTTGGCCACCCTGTACAACTTTTCAAAAATCTACTCGCATTAGCTTCCAATCATCTCAGCTCACCATTTGCTCTGCTGTATAATACGAGGTGTGGCAATTAAATTCCGATAATTTCTAAATAAAACACAGGCAAATTAAGTAAGCGACAAAACTTTATTAACGCCCTTCACAGTAGTCCCCTCCTAACTCAAAACTGCGTTTTCAACGTTTCTCCCATGATTGGAAGCACCCTTGATAGTCCTCCAAAGTTAGGCCTTTCAAGACGACGGTCGCAGCCTCCTGGACGGCCTCTACACTGCCATGGTGAAGTGAAGAAGTCACAGGGGACCAAGTCGGGGCTGTAGGGTGGATGCGGTAACGTTGGCATTTTTTTTTGGGTCAAATATTCGCAATGGTTTTGTTGGATTGTGAGAATTTTGGGCACCATTTTCGCGCACAGCTTCCGCATGCCTAAAGGCCGATTCTCACTTTCGTGCAAAGAACCGGCACGGCACATACTCGGCACGGGCAAAGTTTTTTGAGTTCAATTCACACTGCGACACGCTTGCCGCAGGTAAGCAGTTTCTACGTGAGTTTCAACTGTAAAAATGTTCGAAACTTTGACGTTAATTAAAATTGGTCTAATATTAGATGATGAAGAACAAGAAAGTACATATTGCAGAAAAAGAAAAATACGTTTTTGTGTACATAAAATGCATAAGAAGTATCTTTTATGACCGAAATCATTTTCCTGGACACATTCAATCAGCATCTCATCTTGTTCCGCTGAAAAAGTGTTCCTTTGCTGACCCTTCAACCTTTCTTGTACTATGAAAAATGAACTAAAGTCGGTGACCTGCACAGATTGTATACACACTTGTCGGAACGTGCACGGTACATCCCGGCAAATATTGTTTCGGAAGAACGCTGCGTGCAAAGGCCGTAGCTTGGCGAGTCGTTGCTCGCATAGTGTGAATTACACCCCAAAAAATTCATACGATTCAATAATATAGATATTTTGCCGAGTCGGTGCCTTGCCTGTGCCGAGTACGTGCCTTACACGAAAGTGAGAATTGACCTTTAATCTTCATGTAACATCTACCAAATTGTTTCTTTATTTATATTTAACTCGTATGACAACGCACGAAGGGTTAGGCGACGGTCAGACAAGACTGTGCGTGTGAGAGTTGGCGCCCCTGGCCGAAGATCGTCATCCAACGATTCACGACCATTTTTGAACCGTTTTGCCCATTCAAAAACACGTGGTTGTGACAAACACTCATCTCCATACACCTGCCGTAATTTTCTTAGGATTTCTGCAGAATTTTCACCGGTTTTGACCAAAAATTGGATTACAGCACGTTGCTTAAAAATTGAGTCGGTCGTTACTGCAACCGAGTTAAAAAACTTGTCTTCGAAGAAAACCTTTAAAAAAAGAACTACACGTCCGATCAACTTGAAATCTCCAGTACGACTGAGCGGGGAAATTGATCTAGCCAGGCGCATGTGCGCCAGTCATGCAGTGTTGCCGGTCCGCACGCCAAAGCAAAATTCTCGGAAATTAGGTGCCACACCTCGTACAATGATACGACACCATACAGTCACGATACACTTACAACATGCAGTGATATTAATTCAATGCTTAATTTATTAATCCATTTTGGTTTGTTAAGTAATACAAAGAGTGATCACTCACCTCTCAGGTAACTTATTCCCTTCTAAAATAACCATCGCTGCTAACGTAACTGCATCAGCTGTAAGTCCGTAGAAAGGATCATCTGCAGAAAGGCGTGCTATAATCTTTGCATTCGGCGGATTATTAGATGAATCTTGCTCAGGAGCAGCTTGGCCTCTCCATCCTTGACCAATAAACGTTAAGGAACATTTCTGGTGTTTTGTCGTATCTATGGAATCTTCATGTGAAAATACACCATATGAGAAGAATCTTGGGTACTGAAGATTGATCTATTATACCACTATTTCGTCAATTCATTAACAAGTGTTACCTTCAACAACAACTCTCTACCAAAATTACGTTTGATAAGAAATGAAAATATGCGTTCAAAGATACCCATTAATATAATCGAAACAATTGATTGAAATCCAAAATACATTTGTATCTGTACTGGTCTTTTCTTTTTTTTTTCGTATAGGTAACGCTGAGTACGTGTTACAACCGAACGATCGGCGCCCATGAACGGTACGTTCCAAGTGTTGGTCATCTCAAATTTATGGATGGAAGGTCTGAAATTATATTATGTTCATATATTAACAACAATTGAAGGGAGTAGGTAGTAAATCACAAAATTAAAAGCTAATTCACCTGTTGGAGTTTCTCTTCGGTAGGTGTCTACTGGTAGGATGACAGGGTCAAGTCAAATGATTTTATTATGCAAGCTGCAACGGACTACCACCCAAAAACGCCCCACTGCTTGGGTGTCAATTGGAACGGGTTCTTTTTTATATTGACTCTTACGATTGTAGGGTGCGTTGCGCTAATAAGCCCCCCAGGTATGATCATGAAATTGATAGAAATGGATAGAGGACACCTTAATAACACGTTTAGAATAAAAAAATTTGCGGAAGAGGGCCTAAATTTTCCACAATCTTAATTAAAAGTTCACTTCATTTTCTGGAAATCTGGTTATTTTACGTATATTTTATCATTCTTAAGTTGGCAAAACTGAAAAATTTTATGTGACAGCTTTCATTTTCACTTTTTAACAAAGGTGACAGTAAATTTTTGTAGGAGGTTATGTTAACTTCTTCGTTTACTAAAATGAAATATGCTGGATTTAACGTGTTATATTAATAGAATGTAATAAAAGTAGCACAACAGGTATAATATACAATACAATTTTAGGTTTTGTTCGACTTAAACACCAAATAAGCGACACTTTCATGTGACTGACATTTTAATGACACCACTGTTTGAAGTGTATACAGTCTAAACTTGAATGCATTAGGGAAGAGGAATGTCGTAGAGAAGGTTGCATGTTTCTCGCATTTTCCATGGATCGCAGCTACGTTAGCGATCGCCGCTTAACTTGGAACGCCTTTTTCGTATCAATCGCCGCTTAGCATCCACCGCCTAATACGGTCGAGAGGGGAAGGAACATCTCTCGCATTTTCCATAATAATATTGTCAATCTCACTTCAAGGTGACACCTTTGTGTTATTTCCAAATCACTGGGATTGAAACATGAACATGAATTAAGTAAAACATGTAGGGAACTGCTTACTAGTATTATGATATAATTAAAAACACATTAATAATACTTGTACATCATTATTTAATGATTATATCATGAAAAAATAACATAACCTATTAAGAAATTAAAGTTGGCGCTGAGGAATTTTAAGAACACTATAACCAACTTAAAATCAACAATGTAATTTGAATAATATAACCTCACTTACGACGAAATGAAGTGAACTTTGAATGAAGATTGTGGAAAATGTAAGGCTTCTCAAACTGAGTACACAAAATTTTAACATAGGTGCTTCGGACTAGCTTAATCGGTGATAAAATTAAGCGTAATTTACATGGGATAGTAAAGCTCTCGCAAGTTTGTGTCAAAGAGCGCTTCCCAATAACTCTCATAATGTAAACACAAGTATAAACAGTGATAGAGAGCTCTCTCCCAGTAAGTCGAAAAGTTGCCGGCAAGTAATTGCTGCAATAAATCTTGCACATCTAAACAAGTTTTGACAGGAAGTTGACATTTATTTGAATCTTGTTGAAAGTTGGAGTGCAAGTGTTGTGCTACTTGGAGAGCAAATGTGTGTGTGTGTGTTCAAAAGAAGACACGTCTTCTTTAATTAACACTTTTCAAGGATTTGCAGAATTGTGGCAAATCAAGACAAAAATCTCTACAGCTCTACTGTGTATATGCACATTCAAAAGCAAGTGTCTGACAGTATTTGCTGAGAAAAATTGCTTTTTACAATTTGCTTATATGTAAATGCTAGAGCAAGTTACTCTCAGAAGTACTATGGCAATTTACTATCTACCATGAGTTGCTGCCAAGTCGCCTTTGGAAGTTCAAGTTAAGTACGTAAAAAAAATTCCAAAGGTGACTCGACAGCAACTCATTTTTGATCACATAGTAGGTACTTACTTGGGTGCTAATTTTGGTAAAAATTCAGGTAACCGAGTTGGAAACAATTTCTTTCGTAGATCTTTTAGTTCATGTGCGTGCACTAAGCTATGAATTAAAGACTCCCATGTGCCATAATTTGCGAATGGCCCTTTGTGTTGGCTGGAGTCCATTTTCATGTACACTTCTACAGAATTTAATGTACCTAGGAATGAAAGTAGTTAATCAACATTTCCGGTTTATGGCTTACCGTCAAAATTTTTTTCTACAAAATTCATTCCAAGGTCTGCAGGAATGCTATCAAATCCGCACGCGCTTACAATGTAAACGCCCTTTTCTTGAGCCGCTTTATTATAATTAAGTTGCATTGTTTCCATGAATTGTGGTTCACCAGAAACATCAACGTGATGAGTCCCAGTTTCAATGCAGGCTTTGATAACTGCTTCCCCAAAGAAACGATATGGTCCACAACAATTTATTAACACTTTGGTTTGAGCAGTCATGGCTTTTAAAGATTCATAGTCTTTTACATTAGCAAGAATGATTGGTATTGAACTGAAATCTTTACCTACAACAAGTTACATTTATGAATCATATTTAATGCAGTATAAATAGGTAATTTTTTTTGTAATGAGACAAAGTGAATTAAATAGTATCTAAAAAATTACTTCAAGAACGTGAGTATGCAAATAGAATTCCACCCGATACACTTAAATATTTGGTTTTATTCCAAATTCAATATTTCATTACAAGAGGTCGCCATTTGGGATCAACTTTGACTGATAAGTACACTCTTAGTGTCACAACCAGTAGAGTAAATGGGCATACAAAACCATACACACACCTGCTACATTCAGAGCGCGAATATTACGGATCAGTAAATAAAATCTATAGAGGGAAACCTACACAGACGAAACGTTATCCGCATTCATCAGATCTTGTCTTATTGAACTGACCACATAATAAAGAGCATCAGTGGTGAGCTATTTTATCATACAGTAAAAAGGGGTGCATTTATATACCTTTGTCCTTGCCACCTGAGATGTTGCAAAAGCGATAACTGGGAATAAAGGCCTGCAAGATTATAAGTTTATTAGCCAAACATTGATTCCGCCATCACTCAAGAAGTTGTAACATGTAAAGCCTGTCTCACAATTGACGCCAACGTGAACGCTAACGCGAACGTGAACGTGAGCATTTAATTAAAGCATGAATATTTACTATTTCCATTCACATATAACGCAACGGAAACGTGAAAACGTGAAACAAACGCGACAGTTGGTCAACTTTTATCTTTCCCGTTCCCGTTGGCGTTTTAAACATGCGCGCGCTTGCGATCCAGCCACATAACCTTTAAAGACCAAACGAAGTACGAAGTATTGCATGATTATCCGTTTGTTGAATTGAATAGAATAGTCTGTGATAGAATGGAATGTATTTACCTCTTCTTATTTATTTTGGATATGTAGTAATACAGAGCGTAAATATGTAACATGAATACATAAACTATTACTTCGTCAGTTTCGCTGTCGGTATCCATTTTTTAGGTTAGTTCAACTACCACAGAACACATTTTAATAAACAAAATATTCCGTGACAAAACTTAACACTCCAGGAGCGCAACGTTAATTGTGAGACTGCGAATTTGTTCATGTTCACGTTACCGTTTGCGTTTCCGTTGGCGTTTACGTTTGCGTCAATTGTGAAACAAGCTTTTACAGTCAAGACAAAATGCTGGAATGCACCACTACACTCGTGGAGAATCGTGCTCGAGTCCTAGGCTTGCCTGCATTTGGATGTTATAGGACTCTTTGAGAGAACCGCCAGCGTCTCCTGCCTTTGATCAAACGTTCCGAGATGGGAGCAGTAGAAGCTGGGGGAGGTGAACATTTACAAAATACAGATAGTTTGAATAATGAAGACAAAAAATGTATTTACTGTAAATATGAAATTTTTTCTTTTTAAAAAAGTATTATAAGTTGCATAATTTTTCACAAGTGATAACGTCAGTAGCTCAGTACTCACACAACACGACACCACCAGGCACCATATATTGAGCAATTAAACAGTTATTATCATTCTGTAAAGAAAACAAAAAAAAATTCCATTACTTTCAAAGGTATGCCAGACAAATCGACATTTACCGATCTTTTTATTTTCTTCTGATGTTATTTGAACAGATACAAAAGAAATAACCTTAAACATCGCCACTATTTGAACTCTACAGGACAGCGTCAAGCGATTTTTTATACAACGTTTCGTTTCGGCGAAATCACAATCAACATTATTTTTAGCGTATTTTCCTCGGTATTTTCCATCGCTATTGGCTGTAGGTACCTCACGTTGTACTTTGTCGTCCGTCCGTCACACGCACTCGTTCTAGACCACTGAACCAGTTTGGGCGATATAAGGCTCATTTGAAAGGGCTTCTTCCACGGAATCCGTGCCTACCGATATTTTCTGATTTTGCGCATGTGCAATGCTAACTTTTTCATTTATGAAGATATTTAAATGAAACTTTATATGTAAATACTACGAATATAAGTCAAATTAACGACGTTTCCAAAATGTTGTTTTGCGCATGCGCAATGCCAACTTTCTTATTTATGAAAGCATTTAAATGAAATTTAATCTTAGACTATATAGTACATGGACTGCTATTCGCTCTATGCTTTCAATACAAAATAGGTGGTCACGGATAGGGGGCGCTGTAGTCGTGGGTATGTGAATCTCAGGGTAAACTAAAGTCGTGTAAACACCACTCGTATAACAAAAACAGCAGCTTCTGTAGCAATCAAGTCGTACGAGATGTTTTAAATGCTATTCTTTATCTTCTATACTTCCACAAATAAGAATAGGTTTGATTTTTTGGCATTTCTATGCGATTAATTATTTGACGTTTGTTAATTTAAAGGTTGAAAGTTCAAATCGTGTCTCATCGAACAACTTCGGATAGATTCGTTTACCCTGAAACTTATATACCCAGGCGATGTCCTTGACCAAATTTTAGTTGCAATTAGCAGTCCATGTACTATATGGTCTAAGAATTTAATCTTAGACTATATAGTACATGGACTGCTATTCGCTCTATGCTTTCAATACAAAATAGGTGGTCACGGATAGGGGGCGCTGTAGTCGTGGGTATGTGAATCTCAGGGTAAACTAAAGTCGTGTAAACACCACTCGTATAACAAAAACAGCAGCTTCTGTAGCAATCAAGTCGTACGAGATGTTTTAAATGCTATTCTTTATCTTCTATACTTCCACAAATAAGAATAGGTTTGATTTTTTGGCATTTCTATGCGATTAATTATTTGACGTTTGTTAATTTAAAGGTTGAAAGTTCAAATCGTGTCTCATCGAACAACTTCGGATAGATTCGTTTACCCTGAAACTTATATACCCAGGCGATGTCCTTGACCAAATTTTAGTTGCAATTAGCAGTCCATGTACTATATGGTCTAAGAATTTAATACATAGGCACTTGGAATACAAGCAAATCTAACACCAGTTTTAAAATTTGATTTTGCGCATGCGCAATGGCAACTGTCTTATTTATGAAATATCATATGTAGGCACTTTGAATGAAACTAAAACTCGAGCTAAAACTAATACCGGTTTCAAAATTACTGTTAACGCATGCTGTATGATTTATTTATAAAGGTATTCAATGAAATTTTTAATGTAGACAATGCGCAATGCTACTTACGAAAGCATTTATAAAAAGTTTGATGTGTAGACACTTCGAATAAAAGTAAAACCGAGGTAAAACTAATGTTCATTTCAAAATTTGTTTATATTTGTCGAGGGGTTGATCACTCCAAAAACATAGGTTCCACCTGTGCAATATTGCACACATTGCACGATTATTGCAGACATTGCACGATTATTGCACACATTGCGCGATTATTGCACACATTGCACGATTATTGCACAATTGCACCATTATTGCACACATTTCACAAACATTGCGCCCATTGCACAAATATTGCACACGTTGCACCACTATTGCGCGTACACAATTATAATTGACTGCTTAAGCGTAACTATGTATTGTGGTGCTATTACAATATTGCAGACATTTCACGTAATCGGCGGGTACCTACATTACGTGTTTTATCTTCCTTTAAGTTGCATGTCTTAGGTCCATTTTCATAATTACGCTAAAGTCTCCTTTAGTGCTATGACATACTATGCTGAAAACCGCATGCGGGAAAACCGCATGCTGGAAAATAAAAAACCGCGTCATGTATAATTAAATGCATAAAGACATACTACGTGCGTTTTGCGGTCGCCGCATATAAGCATTTAATTATACATGGCGCGGTTTTTATTTTCCCGCATGCGGTTTTCAGCATAGTATGTCATAGCACTTAGCTAAAGTCGACTTTAAGGCAAATTAATGTTCTTTCTGAAGATAAACATATTCATAACTATATTCAACTACTCCCTAACTAATGTCCCTGTGGACCTTAAAAATTAAAATATGGTTAAAGTTCTCGTTAAAAGCTATCAAGCAATGTTTTAAAGCACCATGGCATGGCCGCAAAAACGAAATTTAAATAAGAAAACCACCTTTTCGTAATATTTACGAATATACATACATTTATTTTGTCGATTTTAGCAAACACTATATTTTGACAAATCCTCAGAAAACGTGTGCCGCATTCGAGTGTCAATACACGGTTCACTTAATTTTAAAACAATGTCTTGGTTTGAAACATCCGCCACATCGTCAGTTGCAGGGAACGTAAAAAAATTTCCGTGTCTTCTAAAAAATTTCACTTCATATACCTCCTCATTACGATTATCGGAATCATTTAGTCGTTTACTTAACACTAAGCCAATGTAATATTTGTGGCTTTTCTTTGTTGCAAACTGAACTAAAACATAGTTTCCAATTGAAAGTGTAGGCTCGATTGTATCCGTCTCAGGCGATGTTATAAAAATCAAATTTTTCTAGACCTAATGCTTATATAAAATTTTGGAGGGAGTTGTAATGCCCCCCCCCCCTCTCATGAGTGCGTCCCTGATTTTTTTAAACATCTGATGTAATTAGTTTCATTGTTTTGTTGCCTCGAATAGATTTTGTTTTGTTTTTAGCTTCCTAGCATGTGCTAGGTGGTAGCTATTGCGATAGCCGTTTTTTGAACATTTCAAAATTTCATCAAATATCGACGTTTTAGACCATTTTAAGCAACTTTTAAAGAATAAAATTTTTTTCCGTCTGTATGTACGTACCTACGTACGTACGTACGTACGTTTGTTGGCAATTTTCTGAGAAAACGGCTCAACGGATTTTGTTGAAATTTTGTATATATGTTTTAGGCATACCGAACAGAAGAATAACGGGCCGGATCTTTGAAAAAAAATTTTGGAGCGCCGTAACGGCATCGAACTTTTTTTTTCAAATAGCAACCTAAAATTTTTATTCTATTATTTGGAAGACCTTATTTTCCTGTGTACAACCTACAAAAAATTGGGCCGGGTTATATTATCAAAAAACGGAGAAAAAAATTGTCAAAGTCAAAAAATTGTGTTGCATATGTGCAAAACGCAACGATCTTG